ATACCTCAATAAAGTTGTTTTAAAGAATCCATATTTATATACTTATACATACACAGAGACTTGAAAAGCATGGGAAGGTGTTTATAGAGCTTTATGAGGGTCAGGATAGGGAACACACATGTACTACTTATATCTGCACTGAGAACAGATATATATTTTCTCGAATTCACATGTTTGCAAGGGGGAGAGTGGTAGGGTGAAGGCAGGCCCTGCTGTGGGAGGACATGCACTCTCAAGGTAACACGGGCCTCAAGACTGCAACCAGGATTGTGCTTCGGAGTAGCCAGATTGTGACATTTACCCTAAACAGTCAAGAGCTCAACTGTTGATGTGAAGTTTCTTATTTTTCAATTTGGGCTCAAAGTTTATAAAAACTTTCTGAAATTTTTTGTAGCACTTTTCAATTCTTCCCTTACCATAACTTTAAAAACAGAAAATGAAGTGTTCCTACTAATGCTGACAACATGACAGGTTGCAAGTTCTAAGTAAGTCAAAAATTCTGTGTAGGCTTTAAAAATTTTCAGTTTAAAATCTGCATTCTTTGGAGGAATATAAACCTAAAAAAACATTACATATAGATTTTCCTCTTAGATTTTTTCTCCACTTTGGTGAGGTCAACATTCTATGTTACCAGAATATATAAGGTTACTTAACACATACCTAAAACAGATCATTGAAAGTGCCTAGAGGCCCTTATATTTCCTTGTATAAGGAACATAATGTGTACTAGGGCTGAAGTTATCTATAACTGAGTTTTTTCAAAACCCAACAATGTTCTGAGGGTGAGAACTAAGTCAGCTTTGTAACAAATCCACCATTTTGCAATTTAAGGATGAGAGACAAGTTTAGTGTATTAAAATGCCAATTATTATTTCAATAACATGCGATAATCCCCCTTTCTACCTGGACAACAAATAAGATCAGTTGTTTGTGTAGAACCATAGAGAAAAGCAACTATTCTGAATGCCTCTGCTCTATAAAGAAGTTGAGGTGCTCACCCAGACTGCCCCAACCTCCATGCTGAGTCAGAAGAGTCAAGATTAGAGTTGGATGTTGCTCCTCTTCTTGGGCAGAGTTACTGAGTCTAGTGCCGACCAGGGCCAAAGGGCAAGTTACACACAGTCAGCCTGAGGACCAAAGCCTGGGTGAAGGACTTAACTGGTGAATGATTGTGTTTCCAGATTTCTGAATGAAGAGGTGTTTTGGTCTATTAGCAGCAGAGCTAAAGGTAAAAGGATATCATGAAGCAGAGCCAGGAATATAACTAGCCAAAGTGATGCAGAAGCAGAAATTTGGCGACATGAAGGAAACCAGCTGGCAGCAGCAGAAGGAAAAGCAAACACTGGAGAGCAGCACTGGGATATTTATAAGGGCGCATTACTACCTCCAATGGTTCAGGAAGCCCAGCTTCAAATCTACTCCCTTAAGATCAGACGCCCTTACAATCAGGGTAGCCTGCGGTACCTGTGGGTAAACTTGAAGGGATGGCTCTGTTTTCCTTGAAACCACTTGCTATTTCATATCAGAGATCTATTTCTACTAAGTCCCCATTTCTGTCTAAGTCCTCTTAAGTAAAACTACAAAAAGAATTCTCTCTCTAAAGTGTTAAACTAACAGCAGTTCAACTTCTATCTTTATCTTGCCACATATGACTTTTCAAAATCAACACACCCCAAGGCAAAACTAAGAATGAGGAAGTAACAGTAAATATAAACTCTGCTGTCAGAAAATCATGCTGCATTAGTTTTAATATTAATCCTCAAAAGAGGTGAGACAGTCACCGAACTTCAGGAATGCTCCCTCTGAATGAATGGAAGTTAGCAGGGGACAGCAATGGGCATTTAACTTAACTTGGTCATCTCTAAAATGCAAAATGCTTCCTTGTGGGGATACTGGGCCTTACAACACCTATTAGTCTTGGATATGAATTCTACTACAACCCAACATTTTAGGAGTTAAAAAAAAAACTTTAAAAAGAGGTTATAACTGGTAGTTTTTCTTAGTATGTATTTTGGGGCTAAGACTTAAAAATTAAAAATTACTTGAGAAAACGTATTCAGAAAGCATGTGTGTTGATACCATCTGCATAGTGCTTAAGAATTGTAGGGTTTTATCCTATTTTCAGTGCAAAACAGTGAGGGTAACTAAATGGATGTAAATTGTTGACTACAATTTGAAAATATCTTAAAAGCAGTAATTTTTGATTCTTTACTTCACACCAACTGTATCTTAAGAGCTTCTTCACATAACTGCATTCTAACAAAACTACTAACACAAACAGTGCCTTAAGGAGGATATCTTGGCTACAATGATCTTACTATAAGAGATAAACAATGCGTGAACTTCTGACATGCTCTCATTTGTTCTGAGGAGGGATGCAGAAAACCAACTCAAGTTTTGAAACAAAAGTCTCAAGACGGTAGAAAAGGGTATTTTGCTAAATTACCATGTCATTCTCTATAGTAAAATGTTCAATCGACAGTTTCAGACTTGAATATGTATTAAGATGGTCTCCAAAAAAGTGTACATCTATCTTCCTCCATTCCTTTGCTTCCGTGGAAGCACATCAAGTTTCTGAGCCACCTGTAGATTATGAAAGCTCTTGTCTAGATCACTAAGCAAGTGGTATACTCAGCTTTCTGGGGGAACTCTCTTCCTTCATTTCCCATCAGTTAATCAGGATGATCTTGGTCCTAGCTCTCTTATATTAAAAGTTCCAAAGACAGTGGTTTACTTTGGAGTCCTGAGGATACCCAGGCCGGATTGTCACTGTTACCTGCTAACATTATTCCCAGCTCTTTGCTTTAATCTGTTTTAGGTATATATACTCTACTGAGTCAGCGCTGCTAGCTGATCAGTAATATATGAAGGCTTTATGAAGTAAGAGAATTAAGTATGATTTTGGCTAAAAGAATCCTTAGAAAAGGCAGCGCAAGTGATTCCAAAGTCACATGGTATTATACTAAAGATGATCTTCTGAGGAATGTTTCGTCTTTATTCTAAATCAAAAGCACTAAGTTGATAGGAGCCAGCCTGGCCTCTGGAAGGCAGGCAGCTCCCCAAAGGGGGGTGCGACCCCAGCTCCTGGGCTGGAGCCGAGCCGCCCTGCACCGGCACCGACCTGACAGCCAGAAGCAGTGGTCCCGGGTAAGCAGGGTCTACCCTCCGGCCGCTGAGGCCAAGGGTGGTGCTTGCTTTCACCGGCCCTCACCTTCCGCACCTGCCCGCTACACCCCCACTCTGCGCCTTCACCAGCTCCTGCCACCAGTGACCGCCCGGGTGGGGGCCGCCAGCGAAGCTCAACAGGAAGGGCGCCAGCAAGAAGCCGGGGAGGCTGCGTGGAGGCGGAGAGCCAAACTCAACCGGCAGCAGCACCGGGCTGAGCTCGTCCCCGCGAGGCACCAAGCGTGGACCCGCGAGCGGGACGCGCACCCACCGTCTCCGCTCCCTGCCCAGCCCGGCTCCCTTCCCCCGCGGCCCAGGCCCGCAGACCGAGGACGCAGCGCAGGGCTCCAGGTTACCTGCGGGAGGGTGGCGGGGGAGGCGGCCCAGGTCTTGGCTCCGGTCCCCTCTTCGCCCCCAGTTGACACAACCACCCTTGCCTCCCCCGCGAGGCTGTGGCCACTAAACCTACAATCTTCTGGGGTCCGCTCCCTCCGAAACCATAGAGACGGGTCCGGAAACCGAACAGAATGCCAGCCTTTACCCCTCCGGCGCCACCACTGAGGCAGACGAACCCGGAACCGAGATAGAGCGGCCACACAGGTGACTGTCAGGCCGCTGCCATTTTGAGTGTGGGCGCCAGGCCGGCCCCGCGTTTCACTCACTGCTCCCAGTGACCTCGTTGGTCTGTGAAGAAGACTCCTCGCTAGGCCTTTGAATAGAGAACTTCTGTCTGTTTAATTTAAATTTTTAGGCTTGTAGTCATGCTGTTTAAACATGATTTCCGCCCGACTCTAAAATGGTCGCCGGCCGCCTGTAACAGATTGTAAGGGGCGGAGCGTGGAAAGGCGCATGGAAATTGGAGAGGATGCGTAGGAGGTGACGTCACTTGCCCTCGCAGTCCTGATTGGCTGAGTCGCGTGTGCCGAAATCCTGTGGAAAGGCGGCTGAGGCTGAAAACATTTGTGGTTGATTCTGGTTTAATCCTGGATATGGAACGTGTAGAGTGACTTAGTTTAGCCAAAAAAAAAAAAAGAACTGGGACTCTTAATATTAATAATGAAGAGAACATACATAATATAAAAATTCATGACACAAAATAAACTATACCTCTCTTTTGTCTGAAGGTAATAGCTGTCAGTTACTACTTAAGCCTCCTCATTGACAGCCGACCTAAATCACTGGTCATCTAAAACTTTCAGACTTTTTCTGGTAAAGGATTTAAGGTGGATAAAAGACCTGACAATTTCTTAACAAGATTAAATAAAAGCAAATTTCAGAACAATTTTGCACCTTACTTAAAAATGTATGGGTTATTTATTACGAGGCAGATACAAATAGCATTTAATCTGTTTTATAAGCTCGGTGAAGGCAGAGCTTTCTGCCCTAGGTCAACACACTGTCCTACTGAAATAGAATGCAAGCCACATGTAAAATTAAAATTTCTGCACTCAAATTCCAGCAAAGAGAATGAGAGGGTGTTAATATTTTAACACAATTATGTCCAAGAAATCATCATTTAAGCAACCACTAATTATGAACGCTATTAGTGAATTACTTTACATGTTTTACACTGCCTTCAAAATTAGGTATTTTCTTCAAACTGGACTAGCCATATTTCACTGTGCCATAGTCACAAGTGACTAGTGACTACTACTGTCGGGAGTATAGTTCTAGGCATTCTGACCACCCCTTTCACCAGAAAATTGAGAGTGCAGTGCAGCTGAAGCAGGATTCCACTACCAGCATAATGAACACTGGAATCCAGATTATCTTCCAGACACGTGGTGAAGCAAGCACTACTAGGGAGGAAACCTCAGATGGCATCTCCTAAAATCTCTTGAATTTTTAAACCCTTTTTATTCCAGAGTGGAGAGTCTAAAATATTTTAGCCAATTCCCCCACCTTGAATTCTTGAAAGCTCATCTCTTCAAGTCATCATGATCATTAATAAATGTTTTTATTTTGCTAATAGAAATCCATTTCTGACATTGACACTGGTAATTAACAAAAATCCAATGTCATGGAGAGTAAGGTGGCTAAAGTATTTGTAGCTCCATCTCTGAAATGTGGCCTTTCCAGTATGATCCTGGCTACTTCCAGAATGAGTGATTACTAGTATGCTGCTGTAGGGCATAGCACCTACCAAATAACCCACACAGAATATTGCACTGTCTCCATTGAAGAAACCAATGTTATCAGGTTGCTTTGTAAACTGCAAACACTACACAGCTGTTATAGGACTTACAACCTCTTGTTAAAGACTGTTTATGCAACATACACCTTCTCTGTGTCATGTACATGCTGACTGCGAAGAAAATCAGGGAGGAAGACATAATCGCTGTAGAAAAGCGTGGTTCTGTGAGGGCCCAAATGAAGCTTCTTTTTCTTTTTTCAAAGTGACTAAGCAAGAGGTTTGTGCTTAGTTTTGCAAAGTGTCTGCCACCACCAACATTTAACTTTCAGGATACTCTCTGTGAAGCTGGACTCCATACTCCCCAGGTGCTCTAAGGCTTTTCTGACATTTGCTCCTTGTCCATTTAGACAACTAATACTTTATAATGTAAGGTTAAGGCACCAGCCAAACACAGGCATAGGGAAGGAGCAGTTGTCCTGGGCGGAAGCAGATATTTGGGAACAATAGATTCTAACTTGTCACCACCTGTTATCAAAAGCACAGACAGAAAAATAAGTTCCAGTTCCTTGTCAAAATTTTCCATCTGGCCATTTCTCCTCTTTCCCTAGGCCTATCCCTCTTATCCTTCCCTCAGTGCAACTTCTCTGACCTCAACTCTCTCTGAGGTCAGTGAACCTCACCTGGCAGCACAGAAATAAACCTACTTTTGGTTTTACTGGCCTCGCTATCTCTCTCCGTCCTCCTTACTGCGCCGAACCTTTCAATAACTGCTTGTGGTGTGCTGGCCACTGTTCCAGAGATTGAGAAAACAAAACAAGATAAATTCTCTGCTCTCACAAGCCTCACATCTCAGCTGGGAGAAGAGGTAGACAATGAGCATACAAATGAGCAAACTTAAATTCAAATAATGGTAAGTTTTATGGAAAAAAAAACAAGGTAATTAATAATAACAAATGACACATATTGAGTACTTATTTTGTGTTATATACTTGATATGTATTAATTCAGTTAAGCCAGGCATCAATCCCATTTTACACATAAGGAAACCAGTGCACAGAGAGGTTAAGTAAGTTGACCAAAGTCACACAGTTGGTAATGGTATAGAGTACTTTGCCTACATATTTCATTTCCTTCCCCACTGTGCTATACTGCCTCCCTGATGTATAGAGAGCAACAAATAAGATAGGAGAGAGATAAGAGTGGAACAGGAATGCTCTAGATCTTTAGATGAATCTCAAAAGAAGGCCCTGCTGGAACAGTGATAACTGGTCTGAACTCTGACAAAAAGGAGTTAGTTATGTGAATTTCTTTGGCCAAACAATTCCTGGTACAGAGAGCAGCAACAACTGAAAAGTTCCTAAGGCAGGTACTGGTTTGGCCAGTTAAAGGAATAGCTAGAGGGCCAGTGTGACTGGAATGTATTGATAGTAAATTAAAGGGATAGCAATTCATGGGAGGCTGGGCATGAAAGTCACAGTAAGGTGTTTGGAAGCCACTGAGGGTTTTTTTGTTTTTTTGTTTTTTTTAAGATTTATTTATTTACGCATACAGAACTGGGGTACAGGCCAGAGGCTCAGGGGAGGCGAGAGGCTTCACCAGAGACAGAGTGGGGAGCAGAACAGGCAGATCGACGAAGTACACTGCTGAGAAGCCACTGAGGGTTTTAAGCCAAGTTTAGATCTGGTCTAGAGTGTTAAAGACTCAGGCTAGCTGTTATGTGAAAAACGAGTCATACAGAAGGAAGGCAACAGGTGGACAAGTTAGGAGACTTTAGCAAAATGCATGTAGAAACAATAGTGAATTGGGCTAGGAGAGGAGTGGCGATGAAGTGGCCAGAAATATAATTTAGGACAGAGTGCTATGGACAGAACTGGGTCATTCCTAAGGCCCCCAATTTACATATTGAAACTACTTCCCTAATGAGATAGTACTTAGAGATGGGCTTTTGGGAGTTAAGTTTAGACGAAGTTGTCCTAGGATTAGTGCTTTTATAAGATGAGACACCAGGGAGTACGCTTAGCCTCTCCCCCCATGAGAGGACACAGTGAGAAGGCAGCTCTTTAGCCAGGAAGAGAGCTTTTACCAGAAACTGACCACACAAGCCCCTAGATCTTGGACTTCCCAGCCTCTAAACTATGAGGGAATAAATGCATGCTGGTTAAGCCTCCCGGCCCATGGAATTTTCTTCCCATAGCCCAAGTTGAATAGACATAGAGTAGCTGCTAATAATGGAGGAAAAAAATAGAAGGAGGCATCACAAGATTGACTCACACAGGGAGTTGGGTTATAAGGGATTAGCACAGCCACTGACCCAGCTATAGAAATCAAGATCTGTAGGTGCCAATTGGTAGGTGCATTACAAAGCATAAGATCCAACCTGGCATCAGACTGCTGTAGGAGGTGCCTGGTGTCTAGAGAAGACCAAAAAAGGTAAATGGTAAAGATATGGAGATTGAGCCCATTGTGGAATCTCCTATCCCTTTCAGATTCTACATAGTTTATTCAAAGTCAGCAACAAACCTAGGCTCACAAGGAGTGAGCCCTTCCCAAAGAGAAGACATTTCAGTGCAGTTTCTGCACTAGCTCCAGGCACCTCTGCCCATCTATGAGTATTCAAGTGTTCCATTAACTTTCTCCCTCAGCAGGGCAGCAGTCTTTCTGTCCACCTGTGACTATCAGGTGCTTCTTTCCAACTCTCTCCTGCAGGGTAGCAGCATCCTGCCTGCCCATGACCTGTACTATGTCAGGGCTTCTCTTCACTGACCTCCCTCAGTGGAGGCTGCTCTCCTCAAGTTCGCCTGCCTGCAACCATGCAGGCCTCTCTCAGCAAATCTGCCCCTTTCAGGGCAGCTCTGCCTGCCTGCTTGTGTTTATCAAGTGTCCTTTACTTTTCTGTCCCTTTCCCTATTAAATCTGTTCTTTTCATAAGTAAATATAAGTAATATCTATATCTCCTATCTCGTGGAGAAACTTGCCTGGGGAACTTAACTTCTTGTCGCTGTGTGGGGAGCTCTGGTGAAACCTTTCCCAGAGTGAACCCAAAGACCCAGCACTCCAAACCCACTGACTCTAAAATATGACATCACTAACATAATAACAAGAGATGAAGTGAGGAATCAAAGTAGCTGTTCCAGTACTGGCCTGAGCAATGTGTACCTGGGGAAACCATAATAAATTTGCAGCATCTGTTAAGCACCCAAGTGGACCTAGAGTCACCTGATGGCTAGACAAATCTGGAACTCAATGGAGAGGCCCAAAAGGACATGAAAAGTTGAGTAATGACTCATCAGGCCGTCAATATCCCCTTGCACTATAATTTGGAGCTTCATCATCAACAGAGAAAACCACCACCACCTCACACTACTCGAATAAATGAACTTTTGAAACCTCTTCCTTTCTGTGGAAGATTTTTTTGTTCATTAATCACTGATATGTGGGTAGATATTTAACTGCTTATAAAGTTTGTTGACATAAACACTATGAAGGATATATAGTACATAATTTCAAATTAATAAAAAAATATTCTTCACTATCAGTTCTATAGAGCCAGTTGATTCTTACTGTGTGCTTTTATTATTGCCATATTCTTTTATGCATGGCCAAAC